AGCAGGTCCAGCCCCAGGAGGGGGCAAAGGAGACGAGGATGCCAAAGACGCTAGTGATGAGCAGGGTACAGTTGAAGGCGATGCGGCGGCCCAAGATGTCAGAGCCAATGCCCCAGATGAAGCTGCCAAAACATAGGCCGATGAAGACGGAGCTTGTCGTGTACCGCACCGTCTTGGTCGGCACGTCAAACTCAGCAGATAGCGATGGCAAACACAGAGAAACGCCCTGCGATGGTTAGCCAAAGATTGCGTGGTAAGGGGAACTCTTTCGTGCCCCGTCTCGCAAATGCTACTCACTTGCATCCAAAGGCTACGGACGAAAGGTTAGCAATAATGTCCACGATGGTTCTCTCCATGGGGCTTGACACAACGTACTTATCGGCAAACCAGCCAAAGCCGCAAAGAATGAACAGCTGCCAGTTGTATTTGCCCATGCCGATATCCTGGATGGCCTTGTTGATCAACTTTGACCTCACTGCCACGCTGTCAGTATGCTAGTGCATTCGTTCTCTCCTCATGAGTGAGTTGAGATCGTTTGGAGCATGGCCACTCACTCTCGTAATCCGTAGAGTCGCCCTTGCCAGCCCTCACTTCTCTCCGGAGACCCTCAATGCTGTACTCGGCCGCGCTCATCTCGAGCATGCCCTCGCTCTCCTCCCTGTCCTTTGGCGCATCGCCAGCGTCGTCGCCGGGAGATGGCGGGTCCTCAAACTCGGTGCGGCCGGTGCGCGCCGAGTGGCTGTGAAGATGGGCCTCCTCGAGAGGCACGACGACGCCGAGGTAGTCATCGACGGACTCTGTGGGCGCCACGGCGATGCGCCGGTACATGTACTTGAACATGACAGGCCAAGGTGAGGACTTGACGATGGGCGGGCCAGTGGAATGAATCAACGGACGAAGGAAGCAAGACAACGACGCAAAGGAGAGGAAGCCCAAACAGCAATCATGCAGAGGGAAGAAAGGGATGAAAGCGACAACGAACGGGACATATAAGAAGTGATGAGGAACCGGGACATTCGAAGCCAAATGGGCGCGAGGCTTGATACAGGGAGATGGGGCACGACACGGGCGGTTCCCTATAGGGCATGATGGGTGTAATGTGATGGGCGCAAGCAGCTGACGAAGCCCACGTGACCCTCCATCGCTGAGAACACGTCCAGCGTCTTGGCCACCGTTTCGCTGGTGGAGCCTGACCAATCTCAGAGGGACGCTGGCCGTCGTCACTCCCAGGGCACACCCCCAGGGCACGATTCCATCAGTCAGAACGCGTCCAGATTTAGGTAAAAGGGTCGACGCAGAGGGCACGACTTTTAGCAATGATTACGTCCTGGAAGCCCGCGATGCATACCGTGCCACGGTTCACGGGCGGGACGAGGGCAGGGTGAGGCGTGTCATCATCTGGTCCTATTGGATGTTACCCTAACATGCCCCAAGGCCCCCCAATTCCAGGGTCATGCCCCTGAAGCCGGGCATGGTTGATTACCACCTAGGTAGGTACCTTGCCTGCGCCAATTGCTCAGGACTGAAGGGCCTCAGAGGCAGTCATGACAACACCCCTTAGTGGTTCCTAAGCAGTGTCTGGCTGCCAAGGCCATAGAGCTTCAGATCCCCCAAAGTTCCGAATCGATAACATCACCGGCCATCACCCCGTCTATCCCGCTTGTACAGCCCAGTCACAGGCAACAACCCATCTGTCTTGCCCGTGGCCCTGTCCAAGCGCGACCTCCCACGCAGGCTGTGCAATCGTAATGACGACGCCCTTGTGAACCTCGGCCTTCTTCGCGAGACCCGTCAACTTGCCCTCGCCAGCCAGCATCAGCCTCATCGAGCGAGACATGCCCTCCGCCTCCGCTTGAAGCTGCCGCCCTCTGACCAGATACATCACGCCCCCGGCCTCGACCTCCTCCACGACGAACTGCACGGCCGTCTCCGACTGTCTCTCATGCCTCCCACTCCACCCCTTGACCTCGGCGAGCCATGACTGCATCTCTGCCGCGAGCTTCCCGGGATGTACCTGACCCCGCGTCTCTGCGGCGAGAAGGCCTCCGGCAACCCGTCCGGCTTCGGCGCCTCGACCTCTGGCGCGCGAAACCGCGGCGGCCGATGGAAAGTAGGCTGCTGGATGCGGGCGGCCGCCGCATCGGCCAACTCTTCCCCTTCTTTTTCTTCGTCGTCGTCGTCATCATCATTGTCTGACGCCTGCTTTCCGCCTCGCAAAGGCGTCACCGGCGCATCGAGCATCATCTCATCCTCATCTCCGCGCACATCGCGCTCGTCCAAAGTTCGTATTTCGCCGTCCCTGTACCCATCAGACACCTGCGAGCCCCCCTCTTCCGATTCGATCTCAACCCGCCTCCTCTTCGGCGTCGGCCCCTCGCTCCCGGGGGTCGAGTCCCGGATCTGTTCCTCTTCGTCTTGTTCTTCCTCTGCGTCTCCCTCGCGTCCCGCCTCCTCTTCGGAATCGGAACGCTCCTCCGCCGACGACTCATCCTCGATAGACCCGCCCAACCCCTCCCTCACGCCCGTCGGCGAGCTGTCGACCCCATCATCGACAATCGCCTCCCTCTGCCGCCGCGCCGCGCTCGTCCCCGGGAACCCAAACCCGGGCACGAACCCCTGCGCGCTCGACGGCGGCCGCGGCGTCGACGCAAACGAAGAAGAGGAAGGAGCCGCGAACCGCGGCGTCGCGTGAAACTTTTGCTGTTGCTGCTGGCTGCTCACGGCGGTGGCGGCGCCGCTGGGCTGGAACTGCCGCGGGTGTCCGGGCGTCGTCGTCGTGTCCCGCGACGAGGGCGGGTGTCTCTTGGCGAGGAGGAACTTTCGGGGGTCCGGTGTCTTGTGCGTCCTACCGCATGAGCTTGTGAAACAGACCCTACATGACGCGAGAGAAAGGCGCGACGCAACGTACAGAGGGGGGTTGACCGGGTGTCATGGTGCTGGGGACAGCATTGTCCGTTGGTGAATGACGTCCGCGTACCAAAGGTGAGAAGGGTGGGAAGATCAGGCCCAGCCAGCTGCGTGGGGGTTCAGGCGCGATGCGGCTCTTGTTTCGATCATCGCTGGAGTTGAGACGAAATATGGTGCTCTCTTCAGGTCGGAGGGTGGACAATGGAGGGGGAAGGTGAGTTATCGCGCGTTGGGGAGGGAGCGCGTTTGTGTAGAAAGAGCGACGTCACGATCCGATGCGGCGCCTTCGACGGCCCTAGTCGATCACTGGTGGGGCAGAATGACCCCCTGTACGTGCCTTTCCCTGTACATGCCTTTAGGGGTCCCATTCATCACCACGAACTTCGCTCTTCACTTCACCAGGAACTTCATCTCACCAGGAACTTCTTCAACATGGCAATAAAAATTGAGTCAATACACATTTCAACATTCAGACCGATCAAGTCAAGACCGTGCAGAGCCCCCAGACAGACTCGTCTGCCAACGCTATGAAACCCCCCAACGCCATGCTTCCTAAACCATGCCTACCCAAGTGAACAGGCTCTCACTCAAACTTGCCGGATCCAAACAGTCCACCCACAGCCTTGCCACGCTTCTCCGCGCCACGCAGCTTCCTCGCCTCCCTCCTCTGATCATGCTGCTGAATCACCGCCCTGCGCTCCGTCTCGCGCGCCAGGTAGCTGACGCCAGACTTCTTGCTCGCCGTCTTCCTGATCTTGCCCTCATCGCCGAACCCACCGCCCGACAGCCCCTTCGACGTCGACGTCGCGCTCGTGCTCGTGCTGCTTGCCAGCGAGTTGGTCGTCGCCCTGCGCAGCAACGCCGGCACCTTGAAGCCCGAGGCTGATGTGGTCGAGGAGAAGGCAAGCTTGGTGCTGGCTGACAGGTTCGATGACGAGTCACGCTTCAGCGACATGCGGTCGATGACGGCGTGCTTGGGTGCCGCCGTCCTCCTGGGGTTCACCTTGCCGGGGCTCGTGTTCTCTTTGTTGCTCTGCGCCGTCGAGGGTCGTTCGTCCTCAGCCTCGCTGTCCGAGTCGACCCCCGTGGCGGCGATGAGCAGGTCGTTCGGGTCCTCAAGCAGGCTCGAGACAGACTCGCGAATCTCGCCAATGTTGGACGGCTTCCTGCCCTCCTTGTTGCGACGCGGGTTGGTGGCCGCAGCTGCGCCGAGAGGCTTGACGTTCTCGGCAGCAGGCTGGCTGTCCGGCACCGTCTGCTCTTGCGACTGCGACTCGTCCTCGGCCTCCATGGGTTCGGGCCCCATGTCGAGGAAGTCCATCTCTTCGTCACTTCCGCGGTCCTCAATCGTGCGCATAAACGCCTGGTTGCCAGGGTTTTCGGCAATCTTCTTGATGCGCTCGTCCGTGAAGAGAGCCTTCTGCATCTTGGCGAACTGCCTGCGCTTGAGGCGACGACGGGCCTCGCCGCCGTCATCCGAGTCGGAAAGGTCGTAGTCAGCACCCCTCTTGCGGCGGAGCATGCCCGTCGTGAGGTCGTGGAAGAGCTTGTCAACCTGCTGTTCATCGCGTGCACGTTCACGTTCCCTTGATCCATGTCAGTTGTGCCATCATCAGTGGCGTCGCTGGGAAAGGTGTCTACTCACGCGTAGAGCGCTGCGATCTTGCGCTCGTCGCCATCCTTGCCAGCCTCGTCGTCAATCATCTCCTTGACGGACGCCGCGTCATCATCGTCGCTGCTGTCCTCGCCGTCGGCGCCTCCGAGGCCGGCATATTCATCCTCGGACTCGTCGGCTTGCTCCTCGAACATGTCCTTGGCCTTGCTCTTCTTCTTGTTGAACTCTTTCAGCTTCTTCGCCTTCTTCGCAGCTGCTTTCAGGGCATCAAAGGCGGTGGCAGACGACTTGACCTCGGCATCAACGGCCACGCCAGAGTTGGAAGCAGATGTCGCTTCGGGTTCCTCTGCGATGTCCTCGATCTTGCGACGGAGACGTCCTCTGCGAACAAGGGGCGAGTCCTGAACAGACTCCTCCACATCTCCGCCCGGAGTCTGGGTCTGGTTGGTCGAGGGTGGAGCCTCGAAGAAGCGCTCTCGCAGAGGCGTGTAGTCCTGGAGGCCGCCATCCTGGGAAGCGTCCATGTCGACCTGTGTCGAGTTGAGTTCATCGCCACGCAGGAGGCTGTCGAATCCGTGCATCTGAGACTGGGTGTAGTGAAGCTGGATGCCCTGGGTCTCAGCAGCCTGCTGGGTGGGGACCTTCTGCGTGTCGCCAGACTGGCTGTCGAGAATCATGTCCTCGTCAGGCTGCGTCTCCTCGTCAAAGTTGGGGAAACCACCAAAGGTGGGCATGGGCGATGCCATTGACCCGCCCCCAGGCATGTCCTGGCTGTCGTCCATGGTGCCAGCGAAGATCTGGGTCAGTCCCAGGCCTGCGGGGCCAGTGATGGGAAGACCAGGGATGAAAGTCTTCTTAGCAGAGCGGAGAACCGAAGTCGGCATGGCGGGTGAGTTGTTGCTGGCAATGACCGGCGACACGTGGCTTGTCGTCTTGGGCTTGGGAGTAGCCTCGACCATCTCAGCTTCCTCGTCTTCGTCGTCAGAGATGACGTGAGCATTCTTCTTTGATCGTCGAGCGTTGCGTTTGGGAAGCGCAGCCTCCTCATCGGAGCCGGCTTGCTCCTGCTCGTCACCAGAAGCTTCCTGCTCGGCACCGGAGCCGGTGTCGGTCTCTTCTGCTTCGTTGTCGACCAAAGCGCCCTCGTCTTCGGAGCCAGAAAGTTCAACCTCGGCCTCGTCCTCCTCGTCCTGACCCTCATCGGAGCCCTCGTAATCGTCGTCGTCCTCGCTGTCATCCCAGGCCAGCGGGTCCAGCTCGCCGTTCTTCATCTTGATGCGACGCTCTTCCTTGGCGGCTTCCCTCTCCCTCTCCATAATCTCTTCGGCTTCCTTGCGCGCCTTGGTGACAATGTCCTCAACTTCCTGCATCTCCTTCTCACGCTCTTCAGCTGTCTGCACAACGATGCCCTTGGCCTTGAGCGCCTCGAGTCGGCGCTCGCGCTCGAGTTTCGCCTGCTGGCGGGCGCGCTGGTGAAGCATGAGTCCGAGCTCGCCAGAGGTCATTGAGGGCTTGCCCTTCTTCTGGCGGACCTCCTTGCCGGGCGACTTGACCTGGGCGAGAAGACGCAGAGCGTGCAGAGCCTGCGCCTCGTTGGTCTTCTTCTCAGGGACCTTGTCGAAGACGGCGTCGATGCGTGTCGTGCGCTTGGCCACGGCAACCTCGAGCTCCTCGTCCGAATCGAGGCTGACCTGGTTCACAGATACCTCGGGCATCTTGACACGGAACTGACGCTTCGTCGCGGGTGCTTTGGTTGCGGGCTTAGAAGGAGAGTTGACATCAATTTCTTTGCCCTTGGCCTTGTCTGAGTCTTGCGGGGCACCATGTAGAAGCTCGGCCAGAGACGGCAAGTCATCCTCGTCGTTTTGTGCTGGGGCGGCGGCAGGCTGGGCGGTCGTGGCAGCGTCTTTGGCCGAATCATCCGCAGGGGGTGAGCTGGGCGGCGTGTCGTTGTCGTCCTTCATGTCGACGTCAGAGTTATGAGCCGAGTTGGGCGTGCCAGGACGGCTAGAGCTGGTCGTCTTGGGCTCGGGAGCGGGCGCGGCAGCAACAGCGGCAGCGGGGGCGGTCCTGAAATTGAAGCGCTCAAAGAGGCTTGCCTTTGTGATCTTCTTTCTTGTCTTGGCCTCGTGGGCCAATTGCATGTTACGTGCCATGCGCTGCGTCTCGCGGTTCATTTCTTCCATGGCCTTCTTGCCAGCCTTCCTGGTGGGCCTCGCCATTTGCGAGAGCTGGCGGCCGCCCTCGTCGTCGGTGATACTCGAGACATTTCCGTCCGAGTCCTCGAGAATGTCGAGGTCGGCCTGGCGCGCCATTCTCTCCCGCCTCTTCTTGTCCTCTTCTGCCTCGCGTGCCAGCCTCTCCTCGCGTTTGCGCTTGACAAGGGCTGCAAAGCGAGAGCTCTTGAGGTCGGGCATGCTGTCATCCGAGCCCGAGTCCGAGGCGCCAGCTTGTTCTGCCGGCGCAGGCGTCTGGTAACGGGAGACAAACAGACCTGGGCTGGAGCTGGCGGCAGGACTCTGGTCCCTGGGTGTGGTGGCTTCGGGCGCCTCTCTCCTCTTGAGGCGTCTGGGTGCTGCGATAATGTCGTCCTCCTCGTCGTTGTCGTTCTCGTTCTCGTGGGCGGCGTCAGGCATGGCGGCATCTGATGTGGGTGCTGTAGTAGGGTTTCCGAGCATTCGTGCGGCCATGCGTCCTCGTGGTCGAATCTCCTCTTCCGAGTCGTCGTCTGAATCTTGTGTAGGCATGGCATGCGGTGAACGACGTGTTGGTGTTTGTGTGGGGGAGGACCTCTTCGCACGACGGGGCGCAGTGTGTGATTCTCCGTCTTCAGAGCTCGAGTCCATGGCAGCAAGGCGTGCTTCCATTCTGGATCGGGGAGAGAGCAGAAGCTCGGGGCCAGGACTGGCCATGGGCGAAGGGGACCGCGCAGCGGCCATTGTGTCTGGGTGTGGGCGTGTTGGGTATACGATTAGGGTGGTGAAGGGTATCAATGGGTGTAGGTCAACCAAGGGCGAGGCAATGGGAGTGGATGTTTGGTGATTATTCGGATATTTGCGTTGCGGTGTGGGTATGTGGTATCAAGGTCTGAAGGGAAGTCCGGGTCTGGCAGGGAGACGAGGGAAGGTACTTTTACATGGGCGACGAGACGCGTCCAGGGATTGGAGACGCGAGCCGAGGGCGTGCACCGCGGGACGTGTTTAGTGGCGGGGCTGGTGTCTTATCGCAGGCTCGGACCCGCTAAACGCGTCGATAAGACATAACTTGCCTCATTAACGCGTCGACACGACAGGGCCTGAAGCACGCTGTAATTTTGGCAGGGAAACGCCCCGGAACCCCCCAGGAAACGCCCCAACGACCCCCCGTCAACCGAGAGATGACGGCATTCCAGGCCTGACAGCCTGACCTCCTACAGTGACAACTGTGGTTTCTACCCGACGCAATGACTGTCACACTCTATTAAGTCGCCTTCATGCCATCCTCAAGGGCACCATCGGTCAGGTCACTTGTACCAGCAGTCGCATGGTAGTTGCAATGGCAGTCGCTGCACCCCACGACGTTCCGAAGCTAATTCCGAAGCCCGCCGTAATCGGCCCCGAGCTGTGGGGCCGCGCCGTTCCGTTGAGCGATGTCGCGGCTCTCTCTTCCGATGACGAATCCAACCAAGCACCTCGCATCCTACTTGCTCTCACCCTCATTTCTCGCTACCTCTCGATCTCTTCTCGATTGATTGTCCCCTCCACGCCTGCCGCCACTCCACCGGTCTCTCCAGACAGCGAGTGAGTGACGCGCTCTCTCATGGCAACGAGTCACACCGCATACGATCGGGTGCCCTCCCGACGGGACCCTGACTCAGACTCGGAAAAAGAAGACTCGGATGATGAGACTATCCAACAGCAGCTCGATGAGACACTCCGTGACCCTGGCACGGGCGTTGTTCCAACATCGGCGCCGGATCCGAGCCCCGCCCCGATAGTCGTCGCCCCGCCAGATGGGCCCTCCAAGCCCGTTGCCTGGCGGGATCTTCCCCGCAAGAACCAGCTCCTCGTCATCACCTTGGCCCGCCTCAGCGAGCCCCTCGTCCACACGTCCCTGACGGCGTACATGTTCTACCAGCTCAAATGGTTCGACCCTTCGCTCTCCGATGCCGTCATCGCCTCACAGGCTGGTGTCCTCCACGCCTCCTTCACCGCCGCCCAGTTCACGACGGCCCTGCTGTGGGGGCGCCTTGCCGATTCGCCGGTCTTTGGTCGTAAGATGGTCATCCTCTGCGGACTCGGAGGCACCTGCGTGTCGGCTATCGGCTTTGGCTTCTCCACGACAGAACCCAGGCCCTGTGCTTCCGGCTGCTGGGTGGTGTGACCAACGGCAACGTCGGCGTCATGAGGACCATGATCAGCGAGATCATACGCGACAAGAAGTACCAGTCGAGAGCCTTCTTGATCTTACCCATGACCTTCAACGTCGGCGTCATCATCGGGCCCATCCTAGGCGGCCTGTTGAGTGACCCGGCCGGCAGCTATCCCAGCGTCTTTGGCCAAGTCGAGTTCTTCAAAAAGTACCCGTATGCCGCGCCGAATCTCGTCAGCGCCGTGTTCCTCTTCACGGCGATGGCATCCATCTGGCTCTTCCTCGAAGAGGTTCGTGCCATGCCCTCTTACTTTTCTTCTTTGTCTCTCCCTCCCGCTGTTCGTTCACTTCTCGTCGTGGCCCTCTGCTGACACAAAGCACAGACTCTCGACGCCCTTCACGACCACGGCCCAGACGTCGGCATCCGGTTCAGACTAGCCCTGACAGCATGGTCGCGGCGGCTGCTCGCTCGCT